GTGTAGAGAGGATATTCAGATAGCCGATCAAGAGAAAGAAGCTTATTGGAGACAGAAATCTAGAATAAGCTGGCTTAAAGAAGGGGACAATAACACTAGATATTTTCATGCTACTATTAGCCAGAGAAGAAAAATTAATAGCCTGGATAATCTGGTGAGGGAGGATGGGAGTAGATGTTTGGGGACTCGGGCTACTCTGTCTGAACTATTGATTTATTTTGAGAGCATCTTTAAGACATCTAACCCTTTGGATCAGATGTGTAGCTTAGATAAAATACCAGTTTTTATATTCATTGATATGAATGTGGAGCTAACCAAGGAAGTAGATGAGGATAAAATTATGAAGTCTTTGATGGAGATGGACCAGAACAAAGAACCTGGGAGTGATGGTATGACAACTATATTCTTTCAATCTTCTTGGTCTGTAATTAAACTTCATGTTTATGTTGTTGTGCTATATTATTTAAATGATAGAATGCCTAAGGCTGTAAATCATATTGTTCTAACCCTGGTCCTAAAAAAGGAACACCCCCAACTTTCCTTTGATTTCTTTTTTTTTTTTTTTTATCGGTAAAACTAAATTTATATATCAAAACTGTGGTTCAGACAACCGATAATCGGCATAAGAAAGCGCAGCAGGTAACCACAAGCTCAGTTCCTCACTCGTAAATATTAATACTACGAGGGCAACCACAGGTCAGTTGCTCACTTAGGTCTTTAATCGTGACACAAATGTAAAGAAGCATTAGCGTTCAGTTAGCATGTGGACTATTGTGTACAAACTCATTGCAAAGATAATTAACAATAGACTAAAATCTGTCCTTGATTCTTGTATTTCTTTAAAAAGTTGTCTTTATTCCCAGTAGATATATTTTGGATAATGCCATTGTGGAAAATGAATATATTCACTTTTTAAATATTAAGAGAAATGGCAAAGAGAGCTATATGGCAGTTAATCTAGATATGACTAAGGCATATGATAGAGTAGAATGAGACTTTTTGGCTAGGGTTTGAAGAAAAATGGGCTTTTCTAATACATCCATATCTCAAATTCTTGCTTGCATTTGCTCATCCTATTTCTCTTTCAATATTAATAGAAGTGTGTTGGGTCTTGTTCACCCCTCTATAGGCCTTAGACAAGGGGATCCCCTATCTCCTTATTTGTTTATAATCTTATCTGAAGCTTTTCCCAACCTTGTTAATCATGCTTGTCTTAGTGGGTCTTTTAAAGGGATCAAGGTAAAAATGCTCCTGAAGTCTCTCATATATTCTTTGCAGATAATTCTATATTGTTTTGTAGGGTTGATGTGTCTCAAGTCTCATCCATTTTGAATATTCTTTTAGCTTATGCGTCTGATTCTAGTCAGTTAGTTAACCTAGGAAAATCTTCTATTTTGTTTTCCAAAAATACTTCTGATAAGGCCATGATTGATATTTTCCAAGTTCTGTCCAGCATCTCTAGAGTTAGAACTGCTAAATTCTTGTGCCTTCCACTAGGAATAGGGAGGTCCAAGAGGGATACCTTTCAGTTCGTGAGTGAGTGTGTGAGGAAAAAAATGAATAGTTGGAAGAACAATTTCCTGAGTGAAACTGGTAAGGATGTATTAATTAAAGTTGTTATTAATGATGTCCCTACATATGTCATGTCTTGATTTAGAGTCCCAGTTTCCATCATCCAGAGTATTAGTAAGGAGATAGCTAATTTTTGGTTGGGCTGTAAATAATACCCCGGGCTAATTGGTTTAGGTTAGCTAAGCTTAAGGAGTTGGGGGGTTTGGGTTTTAGAGATCTTAAATCTTTCAATGAAGCTTTTTTAATGAAACAGCTTTGGAGGCTCATCACTATGCCCAATTTGCTAGTTAGTAAAGTCTTAAAAGAGAGGTGCATTTGGAAGGATAAGTAGTGGATATAAAGGCAAAAAACAGTGATTCTTGGCTTTGGAAGAGTTGGTTAGGAGCTAAAGAGTACTTGAAGCTCGAGGCTTGATTCCAGATTGGGAATAGACAGTCTATTAAGTGTTTGGGATTTACCTTGATTCGAAACAACTCTTCGTTCAAACCTCATTTTCAATCTTTAGAGGATAGGGAGACTATTTCTAGGGTCGGTGAGTTAATCTTTCCTGGGGAGAAAGAGTGAAATAGAGAGTTAGTGCTTCACCTTTGTAACCCTGTGGATGCATATTGGATTGTGAATATCCCCCTGAGCCATTTTGTAGGGAGACATAGACTTATCTGGAACTGGAACAAGAAAGGTATATTTTTAGTCAATGAGGTGTACGATACAATCATGTCTGCTCAAAGGGATGCTCAAGAGACAGTGGGTACCAACAAGGCAAACTCTTCAATCACCAAGATGTGGAAAAGAACATGGACTCTACCTGTTAAAGGCAGGATAAAGTCCTCTCTTTTGAGATGTCGGCATGAGTTCATGAGAACAAAGACCCAACTTCAGAAGAGAGGAGTTCAATGAGATTTGGTGTATGCAATTTAACAGTGATAGAGCTAAAACATGTTGGAAACTAAGTGGACTCACTTGGAATTAGATGAAGGCTAAAAATAATGATTTTTTTTTTCCAACGATAGAAAATTATATAAATAAACGAAAAACCGAACAAAGTTCGAACACGATTACAACTACAATGGGAGATACACTCAAAGAGTGATCTAGACACAACAAACCGAAAACACAAGAAAAAGCAGGGATACAACCACCGAGCCTTTCCCTCAACCCAACCAACAGCCACAACAAGACCACATACTAGCACTACAAACAACTCAATCACATCAACAAAATGAATAAGGAAAAGAAAGAAAGAAAACTAAACTAAGTTGCCAGAGCCAGAACAATCTGACATGCTAATCCTTGAGAGTTGCAAACTCTTGCCATTCTCTCCAAGCTCCTCGAGCTACCACCTCTTCTGGCATCCACACCTTCTCAAAGAGCCAAAGATTCCGGGATCGCCATAGCCACCACTAAAAATAATGACTTTTAAAGATGGTGGAAAGATATATGTAATATGGATAATGTTGATTGTATTGACGATAGAATATGTCTTTCCATATATCTATTGTGGTGGTTGTAGAAATGCAAAAACATTTGGGTGTTTAGTGGTGAATGGAAGAAGGAAGAGGATGTGGTGGAGGGAGCACAAAAGGAATGGTTAGAGTTTAGGGCAGCAAAGGAGAAGCAAGATGCTAAGGAGATCAGGTCCAAAATTAGTTCTCAACCTCAGGTAGAGCAGTTTCCAAGAGAGGTAGGGCAGGCTTATCTAGTTATCAATGCCCATATCTTTACCTCGTGAGGAGTAAGATAGGTATCATAGCTGCGGAAGGTGATAGTGAAAGCTTCAGAAAGGGTTTCTCTTTGGAATGGGTTGCAGACTTGTTAGAAGCTACCCTTCAAGCGGTCAAGTGGGGTTTGGAAGAGGCTAGGACCTAAGGATGGCAGAACTTCAGCTGCATTCTATGGAACAAAAAAGCCATTGCGGTCCTGAGGAAGATGGAGGCTCTTAACTCAAGAGTTAATTTAATTGTAGCAGACATTTTGTATCTTGCATATTTATTCTCGAATTGTAACTTTATTTTAGATATTACCCTTTGTTCTAGTGCTTCGGTTGTAGCCAAGATGGCTGGTGAGGAGGGGCATTATACTGCCCCGTTTATTTGTGGATTATCGATGATTATTATTATTAATGTTATTATTATTATTATTATTATTATTATTATTATTATTATTATTATTATTATTATTTATAGATGATTATTATTGTTGTGATATTATTAATGTTATTGTTAATATTATTGAGTGCCTAAATATTATTAATTGTCTAATTGTAATTAATTGCTTAATTGTATATTTTGATTAATAATATTAGTATTTTAAAATAATGTACGTATTTAATTTATATTGTCTGGAGTTTTGTGCGATCGATTTGAACTGCCGAAATTAGTAATCGGAGAACCCGAGCCCGAGAGCTAGATTTATTTTCGTGTGATTGAATCGGGCCCGAGAGCCGAATATATTGACGTGCGATTTTATCGAGCCCGAAAATACCCGCGTGAACCGAAATCGAGCCTGTGAGCCGATTTTATGTCAATCCGGCCCAACAGTTTTCAAATACGGCCCATCAAGCTTAAAAATCCGGTTTTTCCTTCTCCTAAATTGTGTGAGATTCTTGTGGGCCAAGACATTTATTTTAACCTATTCTATTGTGCACATATATATATATAAGCTGTATCTATATTTTGTTTTCTTCACTCTCGAATTTGCACAAAGCCGCAGCCAAATCCTTCCCCCTCTCTTGTCTGATATTTTTCCCTATTTTTCACGAAAGCCGCAGCTCTCTCTTTCTCTTATCTCTCTCTTCCGTTTTCTGATTTTTCCGTCGATCTCTCACCTTCATCTTCTCCTCTGCAAATTTTTCCGTCCTTCTCCAGCCCTTCTCCTCCGCGAAGCCGCTGCCCTCCGTCGTCGCGAACCGGAAGTCCAAGTAGCCCCGACGATATCCTCTGCCGCTACTCTCCTTCCCGGCGAGCTCTTCCTCCGGCAGCGAGAGGTCCTCCACCCACGATCAGACCCACCTTCGCCGCTGCACCACGCCATCGTGACGAACCCCCAGCAAAGCTCCTTCGGCGGCTGACGACCAGACCCTTCACAGCCTCGACCCACCTCGCGACGCTGATCCTCTGCGAGCCCTCCTCTCCTGCAGATCTCCGGCGCGCCACCACGAGCAGGAACCCGCAAGCTCCTCAGCCGCTGCAACTTCCGGAAAACCTCCTTTTCCCGGCGAGCTCTCCTCCTCCATAGCACCAGCTATGACAGGACGTCTCGGCCATCACTGCAACCTCGCAATCGTGAAGGACCACCGCAGCTCTCTTCTCGGCGAGCCGCGCGAAGTCGTCGAGCCCCGTCGAGCCGTCTTATCTCGTTCGAACCTTTCTCGCTCGTTTCCCGATAACGGTATCGAGTCTCGACTTCTCGTTAAATTTTACGTGAATAATGTTGTGATGGGTTGTGTTTTACGTGTTCGTTGAATTATTATATGCGTGTTTGAATTGTTCGTTGTGTATTTATATTCATTATTTTATGTGAAACTCGTCGATTCATGCGAATCGAGCGAGAACTGAATATAAGTGTGTAATAGCCCAGTTCTGTATTAATAAAAATGACAGTTTTTAGTTCCCAGTTGAACTATTTCTTTTTATTAATACTGCTCGCCTTGAGTTCCGAGCCCAGTTATCAGCTATTCAATCTCAGTTATTAATTCCGGTCCATTTATTTTAGTAATGGATTTTATTCAGTCGGAATTAGTTATTTCAGTTGTCAAAACCGAGTTTGTTTCGATAAATCGTCCAAGTTTAGCCGTGTCCGGAACCGAGTTGTTCGGTCGCGAGTATCGCGCCTAGTTCGCGCCTAGCCAATTCTCGAGCCCTAGCCATGCTCATAGCCTTACTTAGAATATTTCTAAGTATGAGATTATATTTGTCAAGCCTTGGATGTTATTCCCTCGGTCTAGTATACCGCACCTAGTTCGTGCGTGGCCCCGGGATCACTCGCGCCTAGGGTTCGCGAGTTCGGGCCAAAGCCGTGCCGAGTTTGCACCAAGTCATGACCAAGTATTGAGGGGATTTTCCTAGGTTTGGTGGCACCTAAGTGTGGCCATTTTTCAGCCCTAGCCAAGGGTTAGCCTCGGTTCAAGTGCATTCCAAGCCGGGCCATGAGTTGCGCCCTAGTACCCGCACCCTAGCCCCGCGCGAGTCAAGTATGGTGGCCCAAGTCATGGCCAAACACCTTTGGAATTTTCCTAAGTGTGGAGAACTCTTTTTCCAGCCCTAAGCATGTGGCATAATCGGCCCAAGTGTTTTTCTCGCGCGCAGCCCGGGCCAGCAGTTCCCGCGCCCAGCCCGCGCCTTTTTCGTCTCGTACTTATGTTTTCGAAACCGGGATGGCCTAGCTCGTGTCCAGGTCGCGCCCAGGGCCCAGCAGCGCCCAGGCCCAGCGCTGGCAGCGCACCAGCCCACTTCTCGAGCCCAATGTGGAGTTTTTCGGCCCACTTCCCCAGGGCCCAACCTCATGCGTGTATTAAGAGATTAATTAGGGATTAATTCAGCTTAATTATCCCTAAAAAAGGATTAAGGGCAATCACATGGCTATTAGCATTTTTTTATTGGTAGTGGGCTTGAGTGGGGGCATTGTTTAATGCTTGGCCTTGTCCCTTAGTGGTGCCACTCCCTTGGGAATGTACAGAGCTGACCAAAACCTGCCAAAGCACCAGGATTCTCCTCCAAGTTCGTGCATGTCAGCCCCAAACCATGTCCCCATGCACATGTGATGTGTGTGTGTCTCCACTTTGAGCATTGTTTTCTCCGCCCATGCATTTCCCTTATAAGGACACCTTCAGCTGAGTGTTAGAGCTCTTGGATACTCATAATTTTCGAGCATAACACTAGCACATTGAGGGAAAACAAGAGAAAAACCGAGAGCAAGCCAAGGCAAGCCTAGCCGCGCGCGCGTGTTCCCTGGGGAAGAAGAGTGCTCGTGTCCAGCTTGTTCCAGCCTAGTTATCTCGAGGCTTATCATTATCCAAACTTAGTTTGGATTTTTTCTAAGTCTCTTGAAGCTATCCTCCTCAGCCATTCAAGCCCCTAAGTCGAGGCTAGTCTCCTAGGCCATTTGCGAGCCCGAGCAAAGGCCATTAGCACCATTCGCAAGCTCGAGCAAGGTTAGCTCATGACTTTCATTTTTCCTAGCTTATTCATGATAAAATAAGATTTATCATGTACAAAAATGATGCCATGCACGAGAAGAATATGGAGATTTGGATTTTTGAAGATTTAAGCCCTAATTTCGTAAGTTATGGTGCATGCATGATATGGCCGAGATTAGTATCTTAAAAATCCTCAAAACTCATGAGTATGACATGGTTAAAACAGTTTCATGCTTTGAGTTCATTTGTTCGGTCGAATTGATATGTGAAATCGAGCCATTTTTACCTCCGAACCTAAGTATATGTGCATGCATGTATTAGCAATGTTTTAGCCTCATTAGCCATGATTTTTGATGTATATCATTCGGCCCTAGGTCAATTTTCATGTTGAGCATGTTCATTTTTGTGCCCTAGGGTGGCCTCGTGCCTAATCGGCCCTATAAGCCCACCACCAAATCCAACCGAGGTCCCTCAGTGATTTTTGGCATTTTTGAGCATTTTATGTCATATTAGGTTGATTGGGTTCAGTAGTCCCCGGCAAAGTTGTCGGAAGTTTGGCAAAGGACCGGCTAGGGTGACCAGCCGCGCCAGTCGCGCGTGCCGTGCCCGTGCCGCGTCGCAGGGGCCAGGCAGTGCCCCTGTCCGTGCCCGCGCCTAGCGCTCGCGAGGCACCGCAGTCCCCAGTGCACGTGACAGCGCCCAGCCGCGCCTGTCCGTGCCAGCCCGCGAGGTCTCAGCGCCAGTCGCGCCAGAGCACCTCCGACAGCGCCCGGCAGCGCTGTCCCAGTGTCATGCACGCGTGATCCCGAGCCAGTCGCTCGTACCACGCGGAGTCGACCTCGGGTCGTGCCAGCAGCGCACCCGAGTGTCCAGTGCCGTGCTGTAGTGACCCCGAGTCAGGTCCAGAGGCCTCGGGACGTGCCCAGCAGCACGCCCGAGTAGTCAGTTAGCCCGGGACGTGCCCAGCAGCATGCCCGCGTGCCCAGGGTCGCCCGGTAGCACCCTGACAGCCCTAGCCGCGCCCGAGCCGCGCGAGTAGTGTCTGGCCACGTCCGTTCTCGCGCCAGTCGCACTCGGGTCGTGCCAGCCGCACGCCCAGTGCCCAGTCAACCCGGGTACGCGCCAGTTCCCGCGTCCCTCGTGCTCGACCGTGCCCAGCAGCACGCCAGCACACCCAGTGACTCTCGGTCGTGCCCAGCCGCACCTAGTGGCACCAGTCGTGCCAGGGCCCGTGCCAGCCGCACAGCCCGCGCCCAGCAGCGCCTAGTACCGTGCCCGGTCGCACCCAGCTAGTGCCCAGCGCCGTGCCATGGCCCCAGCAGGCCCGGCACGGGATCGAGCCCGGCCAGTCCGAGCAGCCCGTGACCAACCGGTCCAGTGTGACCCGGTGGTCCAACCGGGTCCGGTCCAGCCCGACCCGGTTCAGCCAGTTAGCGAACCGGCCGGTTTAGCCGGCGGTTCGAGTCCGTTTTGGTTCGTGATTTTCGGTCCGAGTCTTATTCCGAAATTTAAGTATTTTTCCGAGCCAAACCAGATCAGTTAAGCATATCAGTATTATTTCCGGACTTAGAATTATTTCTGTGAACCCTTAGAGCGTTCCTTTATATCCGGATGAGTAATCTGATAGAGTAGAGCATCCTAGCATATTTTTGAGCATATGACGAGCATAGTACTTAGTATATTTGTTTGCTTATATTTTTATGTAGCTTGAGGAGTCAGCTACCAGCACAGC